AGAAGAGCAGAATCGGGCTGGAGAAAAAGAGGAAAAAGGAGAAAAGAAATAAGCCATCCTTATCCAATTTCTACTCTTTTAAGCCCCTCAACTTTCAGAATATTTACATTAGACCCCAAAACAATCTTTTCTCACAATTAAGTCCCTAACTTACACTTAAATATTCCCGAAAATTTGGGATATTACACATCCTATAAAATATATGTATATTATACAAATTAAACAAGTCATAATTTGTAATATCCCAAATTTTCTAAAATTCTAGCATTTAAGTTGAGGCCCTTTTGAGAGAAAATATTGTTTTGGGGCTTAATAGCTAAAAACTCCAAAGTTGAGGGACTTAAAAGAAAGGAAATTAGAATGAGGATCAGCTGATATTTTTATTTCCTTTTCTTCCCAGCCATACATGTTTCTGCTCTGCTCTTCTTCTTCGTGGTAGCCGACAAGCTTTTCCCCCAAGCCACCGACTTCCATTTCTTAAGGAAATTGGTCACAAAGCTTGATTTTTCCCTTTCTTTTCTTGTTAAAGAAATGATTTTAGGACCTAGAACCCTCCCTTTGAAGTAGAAATTTCCAGATCTGCTCTCCCTTCCTCTTCCCTTCGGTCCGTGAGTTTCTGCTGGGCGAGGGTGCGATTTTCTAGGCTTTTTGGTAACCAACAACCTTGGAATTCATCTTTTCTCCCTTAATTTGGCTTGAGTTTACTTTGAATTGTGTTTTGGTTCTTGAATTTTGGTAGCCGCGAGTTCCCCTGCAGAATTGCCACCGGCCTCTTTCCCCCGCCAGGTCCGGTTCTGCAGCTGGAAAAATTCTGGTATGTGGCAGCTTCTCTCAGTCCAAATTTTCACCAATTTGTTGCTGAATTTAACCTGTGTAATTGCTGCCATGTACATTGAATTTTTTTGCCGAAAATATGGAAGAATTTGGCAGCATTTTAAACATGTTTTTTTAGCTTAATTCACGTAGAAATAAACCTGTTTTTGGCTTGAAATTAGCTGCTATTCTGTGTGGAAAATCTTGCTGTTTTGCCAAAATTTTACTGTTCATGGCGTAGCTACTGTTCACGCAAAAAATTTTGCAAATTGCTGCTGCGTTTTTATGCATTTTGCTACTGTTTTTCCTTTCTTTTTCAGTCTGTTCTGCTCTGAAAATCTGGTGAAATATCCTTTTTTCTAGTATTTTAGTTTGCTGCAATTGAATTATGGAAATATCAGTTACTGTTCACGCGTGCTGTTCATACATTGAGTTTTAATTATTTGGAATAGAAAATCCTGTGTGTTAGTGGCAGTTTTGCCAGAGACAATAATTGAATAAGAGCCCTGTCGCTCCATTCTTGTCTGTAAGTATGGGTATTAATTCTTGGATATTTTGATTAGATTCTTAATCGTTCTGTCAGTTTAGCACTGAGATCGAGTCTTCGGTTTTATGCGAGTAAGGTAAGTAAATTATGGTAACATCCTTCGATTTCAAAGCATGTTTTAAATTGTTTTGAGATGGTCGCAAGGTTTAAAGTGATTTTATTGATTTAAATTGATTTTATTAGTATTGAGCATGATTGGTTGGAAATGAGATTGTTTTCATTTGCATTGAGTAAAGCATGCCTACTTGGACTTTGCTGAACTGCTCTGATGATTTGAGAATTTTTTTAAATTATGGTTTTCCCGTTAAATCCATGCTCACATGAAAATTTTTCGGTTTATTTATGAAATTTGAGATTAATTGTGAATTACGGATTTATTTTGTAAATCCTACATGGTTTTGTCTCGGATATGGTCATGTATTACTGTGCCCGCTAGTGAGAGGCTTATAAACGCTAGCACATGTCGACATGTTTTCTGATAGGACCGGTCCATTCTGTAATCCCGCCAATGGGATAATACATTGGTTATTACTGAAATCCTGCCAATGGAATAAAACATTGGTTACTACTGTGCCCGCCAATGGGAGGTTTATAAACGCTAGCTATGACCTATAGATGAGACTACTATTGAATTTTCTTTTGCATTAATGGGTTGTCATTGAACACTTTGTTATTGAACTGTATTTGATTCTTTATTAACGGTTTATGTCACGCCCCAGAACCCAAACCCGAGGACGTGGCAGACGCCGTGCACTCGTAAACGAGTCCCACCAATGCACAAGATTCAGAACTTATCCATTAAATAAAGCTATAAACCTTGGATTACAATCTAGCTTACAATATCATCATCTATATCTAAACTCCACGTTCAATTTACAAGATGACTAGCCTTCTAACTCGTCACTCCCCTTGGTTTTCCCGTCATCGGTTTCAATTCCTGAAATGGTGGATAAGAAAAACTATGAGATAAAATATCTCAGTAAGTAAATATGGATAGCCCTTTAGTAAAATCTAAGCATGCTAGATAAACCATGTAAACATAACAAAACTTTCAATGATAACTCGTTAAAAACATAATCAGATTCAGTTTAATAGCAAAACGTTAATGACAAAACCGTTAATGCAAAAGAGAAATTCAGTTTAGTAGTCTCATCTATAAGTGATGGCCAGCGTTTATAAACCTTCCATTGGCGGGCACAGTAGTTACCAATGTTTAACCCCATTGGCAAGGTTACAGAAGTACCAGTGTTTAACAAACTCCCACTGGCAGGCGTCAGTAATGGTACCAATGTTTACAAACTCCCACTGGCAGGTATCAGTAATAACCAATGTTTAACCCCATTGGCAGGGTTTCAGAAGTACCAGTGTTTAACAAACTCCCACTGGCAGGCGTCAGTAATGATACCAGTGTTTAACAACTCCCACTGGCAGGCGTCAGTAATGACCAATGTTTAACCCCATTGGTAGGGTGAACCGGTTCTACAAAAATACATGTTGACATGTGCTAGCGTTTGCAGTTCTCACTAGCCGGCGTCATTAATCATGACTATATCAGAGACAAAACCATGCAGAATTGACAGAAAATCTGTAATTCACAATCAATCTCAAATTTCAGAATAACCGAAAAAATTTCCATGTGAGCATGGATTTAACAGAAAAATCAAAACTTACAAAATTCTCAGTTCATCAAAGCAGTTCAGTAAATGCCAAATAGGCATGCTCTACTCCAAAAAAACAATGAAATCCTCATTTTTATTCCAATCATGCTTAATTCCAGAAAAACAATGAAATTCTCATTTTCATTCCAATCATGCTCAATTCCAAGAAAACAATGAAATTCTCATAAAAATCACCACAATTTTCATTTCAGTTTAATCACACTCAGATACTGGTAAAATCAATTTAAACTCGATTTAAACCTTACCACCATCTCAAAAACAATTTAAAACATGTTTTAAAATCGAAGGGCTTTGCCATAATTTACTTACCTCACTCGCACAGAACAGAAGGCTAACCCAAGTGCTACGGTGACAGAACGATCAAAACCTAATCACAATATTCCACAGTTAATACCGCACTACCACAAATTCACAGTAAAATCATCATAAGCACTACCCCTAATCACGATGCTATTTCTATCGGTCTTCACATAACCAAACATCTCCAAATTTATTCTTAGATTACAAACTAAACATTTAAATCCCCGTTAATTGTTGACTCTCGATGTGTGAACAGTACTCATGAACAGTACCGTGAACAATAACCTCAACTTCCAAAATTGGCAAAACATAGCTAATCTCACGGGATTTTTCTCCAAAATCACACAACCCAATTCAAGCTAATTTCCACTTAAATTAAACAAAAACCAACTTAAGCTACCAACTCCCGGGATAGAAAAATGGAGAAAATGGCTCGGCAAAACCACACTCACACCCGGGATTTCTCACACAAAACATCACAGCAGCTAATTCAAGCTAAATTCTACATAATCAAGCTTAAAACACATTTAATTCACTGCCAATTCTTCCCCTGTTTTGACAGAAAATTCGGACAAGAAGGCAGCAGCTACATGTATAATTTCAACTACTAAATGGGTAAAATTCAGCCTTGGAGAAACTAGCACATACCAGAATTCTCATCTTTTTTTTCGGACAGCAGAACCCGCACCAGGCGAGCATGGGGGCTGACGGGATTGCAGGGGGGAGGCTCACGGCTCTACCAGAAATTGGAAGGGAATAAAGCAATTAAAGTAAACCCAACCTAAATCAAGGTTAAAGAGAGGGATTCATGGCTAGATCTTACCCGAAAAACCGAAAATTCACACCCACACAAGCAGAGGCCGACGGACAGAGGGAAGAAGACAGCGCAGATCTGGGATTTTTCTGGGTTGAGGGAGAGAATTCTAAGCCCCAAATCTTGTGATTAAGCAAGAAAGAAGGAGAATTTTCAAGCCTCTTTACCGGTTTCCAAAGGAAGAGGCAGTCGGTGGCTTAGGGGGGGGCTTGTCGGGAGGGAATCGGGAAGAACGGAGCAGGCACGCGGATAAGGAAGAAGAAAAAAAAGAAAGAAAAACTCAGCCATCCTTATCCTAATTTCCTTTCTTTTTAGTCCCTCAACTTTTGAAAATGTTGTGATTAAGCCCAAAATAATATTTCTTTCACACATAAGTCCCTAATTTAATGCTAAAATACCCCAAAATTTTGGGATATTACAATTTATCATTGAACGTTTTATTATGTTAAACTGTTTATCTGGCATGCTAAAATTTTACTTGCGGGCTATTCATATTTATTTACTGAAATATTTTATCTCACCTCGTTTTTCCTTACCCACCATTTCAAATAGTGTGACCCGAGTCATGGAAATCAACAGAGTGACGTGGTAGAAGGCTAGCCACTTGAGATTTGACATAGATTCTAGAATATATACCATGCTCTTGTAAGTTAGATTTTAATTGAAAAATTTATGGTATCAAAACTAATTTTGTTGAGTAAGTTTCGAGCCTTGTGCACTTGTGGGACTTGTCTCACAAGTGTACGGCGTCTGTTACGCTCTCGGATTTAGGTTTTGGGGCGTGACATAATCGATAACATTTCTGTCGATTATGATCTATACATAATCGGCAGCCATTTTCTGTCGATTATACTAGTATAATCGAGAAAGACTACTGATTATATAAATTGTTGATTATATTAGTTAAAATCACACATAATCGACAAATCATTATAATCAACAGCTATGTTTTTATCGATTATAAATTTGTCGGTTATACTGTGTTTTCTAGTAGTGTTAATCTTTAAATTTTGATTACAAATATAATTTAATCTTTCAACTTTGATTATATATCAATTTGATTTTTAAATAAAATATGTCACAATAACAAAATATAATTGCTTAGTTTTATATATTATTAGTATTTAAAAAAACTAATTTTATGGTAAAATAATAAGTTACATTACACTTCTATTAATAGTAGGATTTTCTTAATACTAAAAGTTAAAATTTAAACATAATTTTTATATTTTTTTAAGTTAAAAAATAATTTTCATATAAATTTATAAATTGAAGGATTAAATTAATATTTTAACCAAAACTGAAAACCTAATGCCATCGCACCCCGGAGCAAAAGGTATACCATAATTTTTTTTTTTTTGGAACACGTTATAATTCTGGGTAGGGGATTCGAAACCCAGTTCTTGACTTGGAGTTGCACCTACCATATAATTTATAGCCATTGGCCAAAAATGCCAGGTGCAAAGGTTTGCCAGTCTTCTGAGACTACCGAAAACTGAGAACTTAACGCCATCGCACCCTGGAACACGAAGGTATGCCATTCTTCTGAAACTTTTCTCAAGAATCCTCGAGAATAGTATCAGATAATTTCTTCCTAATTTATTCCTTTTTTTTTTTTTGTTTCCCGCCGGATGTCCGGGGCTTCGCCCGACTAATCCGGACCGACCCCGTCGCGCACCTGGAAATGGTGGGTGAGTCTCCCAACGGAGGGAGGCTGCTATGAATCCCTTACAAGATATTTTAACCTCTAATTTCAATCTAGAGAGCCACAAGAAAGAAGGTTACGAAGAAGGCTACAATCACGACCTAATAGCCGGCAAAGAAGAGGGCTGGCAAGTGGGACTAAAATATTGGATTCGAAGTCGGCGAGGAGCTTGGTTTTTACAAGGGCTGCGTCCATGTGTGGAAGTCTGCCATCCGGGCGGAACCGACCTGGTTCTCAGCCCGGGTGCAGAAGGGTATAGGGCAGATGGAGGAGTTGATTGAGAAATACCCATTTATGGATCCAGAGAACGAAAATGTACAGGAGATTATGGACGCTTTAAGGATTAAGTTTAAGGTCATACGTGAAGCCTTGGGTGTGAAATTGGAGTATGATGGGTACTCCAAACCCAAGATTATTGAGTTTTTATTTTGGGATTGTGAGCTGTATGTTTAGCTAATTTTCAGCATGTTTGCAATCTTTTTATAGAAAGTGGATGATTGTAAAAAGCTTTTGTATTTGATTCCCCCCACTAGCTAGCTATGACCGTAAATTTTCAAGTCTGATATATTTTTTCTCATCAAATTTGCTATCTTATCTTATCATTATTACTGTTGTTCTGAATTGACATTATTGCTTGAGATTTGAGAATTTTTCAATCGCATTTTGTGGTCCCAAAATATTGTGGCTAGAAATGTTATTGAAAGTGCAATCCATTATCCAATCTTTCTTTTTTTGCAGTTTTTGATAAGCTGGAAGAAGAGAGAAATGTTGAAGCCAATGCTTGCTTGTGGCAAGGTATACATTTCTGAAAGCCGAAATAGGGTTGCTCTGGAGTCAATTGAACAAGCGGCCAAATTGTTTCCTGAAGCTGCTGTTGTAAACAAGTTTGAAGATAAGACTTATAACAGAGTTGGTTATACAGTTGTCTCAAAAGTGACTCCCAATTGTTCTCAAGATTCATGTCTCTTGAAAAGTGTGGTGTTTGCCATTGTTAAGGCTGCTTTTGAAACTATTGACCTTGAGTTGCATTCTGGAACTCATCCTCGGCTTGGAGTTGTTGACCATATATGCTTTCATCCATTGGCTCATGCTTCCTTGGACCAGGCAGCTGGAATAGCAAAGTATTTGGCAGTAGATATTGGTTCCCATCTTCAAGGTTTGCATCTTTCTAATTTAATGAAAAGTGTAGCTTGTGGCTAGTAGTAAATTAGTGAGAAATGCTCTGAAAGTTGATTTATTTAAACCATTTAGCAACTGGTATTGGTTTCAATTGTCCCTGTTCTTGAAGATGCCTTCTTCAATGGTCTCATCTTTGAGATGCATGTGGAGTAGAAGTGGGTTGTATTTCTCATTTCTTCTTTGTTTATTGCATTCAGTTTTTTTAATTTACTGCAATGGATTGAATTTATGTTTATCACAAGAGATTTTTGCTTCATCCAAAAATGAACCAATGATGCCCAACTTGCCAATCCATTTTCTTATTTTGTTGTACATTAAAGCAACATTTCTTATATTCTGTGCAAAAGATCTGTGCTACTTAAAGGACATTTATTTTCAATGATTCAGTGGTTAATATTCTTTACATCATATATCTGGTTTCTGTCTTTCTTCATTAGGTAAAAGCAAAAGTGGTCTACTATAATGCCAAGTTTATTTATGAGTCTATAAGAAATTATATTTCTTTGGAACTTTCTTTGCTTGTCATCTATTCTACTTATATTTATGGAATAAGGTTATGCAATTTAACTTCCATGTGATGGTAGTATTTAAATGTTTTCTTGAAAAGAGAGTATGTAAAGTGAGATTCCAAGTGAGCTAGTATGCAAATCAAGTCGGTCTTTGTAGTTATTCTGCCTTGGTAAAATATTTTCTGTTTTGCTTTGCTGATTTCCTTAAATGTAACCTGCAGTACCTACTTTTCTTTATGGAGCTGCCAATAGAGAAGGGAAAACGCTTGATTTAATCCGAAGAGTGCTTGGTTATTTCAAACCTAATGCCTGTGGAAACCATTGGGTTGGGGGGCCTAAAGCAGAATCATTACCACTTAGGCCTGATGAGGGTCCAGCTGAAGTGACTCCAGCAAAAGGAGTTGTTCTAATTGGAGCAACCCATTGGGTTGATAATTACAATGTCCCAATCTTCTCTGCAGATGTTGCAACTGTTCGTAGCATCGCTAAGCATGTGAGTGGGAGAGGAGGTGGACTTCCTTCAGTACAAGCCATGGCACTTGCACACGGTGAAGGTGTCACTGAGGTAGCCTGTAATTTGTTGGAGCCAAGTAAAGTTGGAGGAGATAGAGTTCAGCAAGAGGTTGAGAGGCTTGCGGAGGAAAAGGGATTAGCTGTGGGTAAGGGCTATTTCACTGATCTTTCACATGAGAAAATAATTGAAAGCTACATGAAACTAGTTTCTTTGTAGAGATTTGTTTCAAGAATTTGCTTCCCTCCATTTCATGTTAATTTAATGACAAATCTCATAAAAAGTGCTGTCAGTAGAATATTGGTGAGGTACTCAAATTTACACAAGATGCCTGGTGCCTATAGCTAGAACTAGTTATGAAAAACCTTATGTGCTCAATCTTGCTTCATTCTATTGAACATGCATCAAACATGGGTTGCCATTTTGCAACTTTTTCTCTTTTCCTGTTTTCTCTCAATAGCGATTGTTAGTGTTGCCCTCTTCATATTTTTTTTCTTGCCATCATTTGTCGTTCAGCTCTTAGTCTTCTTGGTGAAAGAAAACTTTTGTCTTTAATTTGAATGATGACTGGAATGGTGATTTCATGTTGTTCTCCATGGTCGACAGACCTCGGCTGAAACGTTTGTCTGCCTATGCAATATGTTTTAACAAAAGAAACTTGAAGTGTTCTTTTAAAATAAATAAATAAATAAACAATTGAACATGGTTACAATAGAGTTGTAATTTGAGTTGGAGTTAATCCAGGTTAATCCAAGGTTAAATTTAATAAATAGTCTATTAACTATGTAATGTATTTCAATTTAGTCTAGAAACAATTTTTTCTTTCAAAATAATTTATAAATTATCAATTTTTTTTCAAAATGTTCTACTTAACAAACATTTCATTAACTATACTAACAGAATTCTTTCTAGCCATTGACATGTGCCACCTAATTCATCACAGGCTTGCCATGTGACCCAAACACATGAAGGGGAGTTGGTGGAGACAAGTTGCCCCTAAACTTTTGAAAAATGTTAAACATAGTACATATGTTTTTGTTTTTTGCAATATTTTATTTTTAAAATTTAAATTCTATGTCAAATGTAATAATTAATTAAGATAATAATTTTAATTTACATTGATCAAGATTCTACTTTTAATTTACAATAATCAATATTATAATTTAAATTTGATTATTTCTTAAAAAACTTAATACCATTATAAAATTACATATTTTTTTTGCTAATTT